GCAGTTGTTTTTTAGTCCATTTTTTTCATATTAAAAACAAATAGCCCTTACATTTCCAGATACTGTCTTTTACCTCCACTCAGAGTACCTTTCTTCAACACATAATTTTTCAAGATGAAACTTATCAGCCCTGATTGGTGTGGCTCAGTGGGTTGGGCATGGCCCCGCAAACTGAAAGGTCCCCAGTTTGATTCCCAGCCAGTTTGATCAAAGGTCCTCAGTGATCTCCAGTTTGACATACCTGGCTTGCAGGCCAGGCTCCCTGGTAGGGGGCGTGCAACAGGCAACTGATCAATTTTTCTCTCCCTCTCTTTCTTCCTCCCTTCCCCTCTCTCAAAGTAAATAAATTAATCAAATCTTTTTTAAAAAGATGAAACTCATCAAATAAATTCTCCACTTATAATTCTTTTGAATGTTGATGCTACAAAACCATAGGTAATTTTTACTTATTTATGTATTTATTTATTTAAATTTCATTCCTTTCTGATGCAGGGTTCACATTTATCCAGTTAAAAATAGGATCTGTAGCCCTTGCCAGGTGTCTCAGTGGACTGAAGCTTTGTTCCGTACACCAAAAGGTTGTGAAGTCAGTCCCTGGTCAGGGCACACACCTGGTCTGGGTGCGTACAGGAGGCAACAACTGATGGATGTTTCCTCTCTCTTTCCTCTGGCTCTAAAATCTATAAACATATCCTCAGGTGAAGATAAAAATATGTATAGGGCTGTAAAACAAAGTTATAGAATTTCAAAATTAAATATTTCATCATATTTGAACTTTCAGTTATTTATTTTGTTTAGTTTCCTTTTTGAGGGCCAAATTGCAACATCTTCCTATTTGTGGTTTGTTTTCAGTCATATGATTTGCTAAAAGCTTCCCAAGTTCAATTTTTTTGGCACACCATTCACTGAATAAATTCATAAAAGATTTCCAACTTACTAAACAAAAGAACTCAAACCACACTGGACCCATGTACAAAAAAACTGTTCATCATCACTGAGGAGAACACAGGTTGATTTACAACCTGAAGCAGTTCTTCAGTGCTTCAGATATGCCTGATGTCTGCTTGATGACGGGCAACAAAAAAGTGTAGACTGCTGTGCTCCCGTTTTAAGAATTATTCAACATCAGTTTTCACAAATATTTTGTTGTTTGGTTACTTTGTGCATACATTTTTAAAAACTGGCAAATTCTGTCTAAACTACAATGAGAAATCACTTCTCACCCATTAGAATGGTTATTATTTAAAATTAAGAAACAAATGTTTGATAATTTGAAAGTCTTGTGAGCTGCTGTTAGTATTGTGAAATGGTGCAGCTGCTGCGGACAACAGAACAGCATGGTGGTTCCTCAAAACGTCAAGCACGGAATTACCATATGATCCAGCAATTCCACTTCTGGGTACATCCACAAAAGATCTAAAAGCAGGGACTCAACCAGATATTTCTATACCAATGTTCATAGCAACATTACTCACAGTAGCCAAAAGGCAGAAAAAAATCCAAATGTCCACGAACAGATAAAAGAATAAACAAAACATGGTATATATATGTAATGGAATCTTATTCTGCCTTAATAAGGAATAGAATTTTATACATGTGACACACGGATGAACTATGAAGACATTAGGCTCAGGGATATAAATGATACATAAAAGGATATGTATGAGTCCACTTACATGAGGTTCCTATTCAAAATTTACATACACAGGAACTAAACCAGTGGTTGCCAGGCACTGGGAGGACTGGGCGTGGGAGATGATGGTGCAGTTCTGGAGACAAACGGCGGTGATGGCTGCACAACAACGCAAATACCCTTCATGCCACTGCACTGTACGCCTTTCAGAGTGTTTAAAATGGTAAATTTAATGTCATTTTACCACAATAAAAATGTTTTACTTGGTAAATTTTAACAACTATAATGATTGATAGCTTGTTTGGACACAATCGTGAATTATGTGTGCATCACAGCAAATTCCAAATGTACTTCTGCTCCATGGGTTCCATATTTTAGGATGAACATTTTCATCACAATATCTATTTATGCAAATTTATGCTCATATTGTCACCACACATCATTTTTTCTTCAATGTTGAATTTTTAAACTTAATTTGGATTAGTGTGCATCATAACATCAGATGTTTCACCTTTGAGAGAATACTTTCTTAAAGGTTTGGTTTGGTTTTGTAAACTGGCTGAAAAAATCTTTTTAAATTGCCTTTTCAGGAATAAGTTTATCTGATATAAAACTTGTACCCTGGAAGTTTTCCAAGTTTTCTGCTAATACACCCAGTACATGAATAGCCACCACTCCACTTTTTATATGTGCACAAAAAAACTCAGAATTGAAATTGCATGAAGATCATTTACAAGAACTCTCTCATATAAATGCAAAATTAGTATTTACAGAATGGTGTTAATGTGTCCTGCACAACTGCATGCCCTAAATATCACTGGAACACTCTTCTTAAAACAACTATCAACTGTGAAGTAGATGATGTTGCTTCTTCACCAAGTTTGTCTTCCCATTTTCAGGGGGACATTGTTATCACTTGTGCCTCCCCCCACAGTGGGTGGTAACATGAATATTTTACTCAATTACTAGTTCATCATCAATCTTTTTTTTAAAGATTTCTTTCCTTTTAGAGAGAGGGGACTGGAGGGAGGAGAGGGAGAGAAACAGGAAGGTTGCCTGTTGCAGTCCCCCAACTGGGGACCTGGTCTCCAACACAGTCACGTGCAGTGACCAGATATTGAACCGGTGACCTTGGGGCTCTCAGGCTGGCCCTCAATCCACTGAGCCACACCAGGCCAAAAGTATTTGCATTTTTTAAAATTAAAAATATACTTTCATTTTATTCTATTATTTCATTCATTGTTGCCCCCATGGTTCATTGTAGAGGCTTACAGGTCCTCACTGGGCTCCTTGGTCTATGGATGGATGTGACTGTAGCCCTGACACACAGGTCTCAGGTTGTCCTCTAAGCAGTGACTTTTGTTTTAACTCTCCACTGTGCAAGTCCTTGGAGTTGGCCAAGAAACAGCCTTTAATTCCTGGGATGGCCACAACTCTCAGGGCAGCCCATAGTTTCAATGCATGCTCAAGTCTGTTGGAGTTTCTTTACTTTCTTATAAATTCAGCTTTAAAAAAGATGTTGTTTCTTCTCTGTAAAATGAGGACAATGATGAAGATGATGATGGTAGTATCAATTCTTTTTAAAAAATATTTATTTATTTTAGACGGGGGGAAGAGAGGAAGAGAAACATCAATATGAGGTTGCCTGTCACGTGACCCCTGGCTCACAACCCAGGCATGTGCCCTGACTGGGAATTGAACCTGTGACCCTTTGATTCTCAGGCCAGTGCTCAACCACTGAGCCACACCAGCCAGGGCAGTAGTATCAATTCTATAGAGCTAATATATGTAAAGCATATGAAATAGTACTTGGCAAATAATTAGCACCATTAAAGTGTTAGATGTTATTCTTTTATCTAGTATTTTTATATACTTACTACAGGAAAGTTTTAAGAAATTTTGAGTCCAGTACATCTGGATGTGGAGTATGTTTATGTATTTCATAACAACTATTATTTATATGAAATGTTTGTTTTGGTAGGCAGTTTACCACTGCATTCTTTATGTAACTATACCTTCCTGAAGTCACATATGGAACATGTATTTTAGAAAAATATGGTGTTCACTTATAAATGTGAAATTTTGTGTAAGCTATGATTCAGCAGTTTTAAGTCTAAAATCAGTAAAGGGATCTGGGTTACCACCAGTCTTTCCTCCCTATAAAACAGCACAAAATTGCTTAATTTCAATTTTATGAGAAATTTCATTTTTAGATTAAAAACATGACTGTGCATGTTTATGTATATACATATTTGGATACGTGAAATATTTATTTTTTGTGTGACTTCATAGCTTGATATAAAAGAACTGTAAATTTAAAGCAGTCAGTATACTTGCTAAAAATTACCAATACAGTGTGGGGCAAAAGTAGGTTTACAGTTGTATGAGAAACAGTTTATTCTTGTATTACCTATTATTATATTATTTTCCATATGAACAACTGTAAACCACTACTTCTGCCCAACTCTGTACTTTGGCTTTGTTGTATTTTTCATCAGAATTTCTAGGACACTTCACACTAAGATTCTAGAAAACTAAAAGGACAACACTCCACTAAATAAAAGCAACTTGGGCCCTGGCTGGTGTAGCTCAGTGGATTGAGCATGGGCCTGTGAAGCAAAGGGTCCCTGGTTTGATTCTCAGTCAGAGCACATGCCTGGGGTGCAGGCCAGGTCCCCAGTAGTGGACACATGAGAGGCAACCACAATGATGTTCCTCTCCCATGCTTTCTCCTTCCCTTCCCCTCTCTCTAAAAATAAATAAATAAAATGTAAAAGAAGAAAAAGCAACCTGGGGGTGAAAAATGGAATCTGTCTCAAGTGTAAAACCAAACCACAGTGTATGTTTTAAGTTCTAGTATTTTTAGTTTAAACCATTCTTAAAATTCCTTTTTGAAGAACATACCCACCATATTTTAAACATGTACATTATATAACTAATTTTTTTTCCTTTTACAAAAAAAATCCTAGTGAAATGGATAGTGTTACGTGTGGCGACAAGGCACTTTGAACAGACTCCATGACAGCTGTGGTCCGCCGTTTCCGCCAAGTAGCACTCCTAGGATAGAAATACGGGGACTGGGCCTATGTATCTGCACCTGTGGAACTCGCCGTGTAGGAAAATATTCTTCATAAACTTTTAAAGACCTTTTCCTGGTCAAAAGATGAATCATACTCACTGTGTAGTAGTTGGGAAATAGAGAAAAGTGTGAAAAAGAAAGTAAACCTTACCACGTAGAGATACCTACAGGCAATATTCTGTTGTGCTTATTTTTGTCTGTTTTTCTAAGCATACAAACATATAAACAATACATATAAAATGTGATTATATTGTTTAATATGTGATAATAATGTCAGAATGTAATATCCCTGTTCACCTTTCCACTGGATAAAATGGTGCTGAGTTGCTTAACCTCCCCCTTATATGTTCTTTATAAGGATTTATGGTTTTCATGGCCAAAAAAGCCCCTTTTCATTCAATAGATATAACATAATATAAAGAATGGTATGTATAATTTGATAGTTTTTAAAGTTTTACTTTGTTAAGATAAAATTTTATTTGTTTAAAACTTTAAAAGATATAAGATTACAAATATACATCACATTTTTGACAATCGGTGCTTCTCAAAATGCAAATCAACTGGTACATGTCTCTTTATGTTTTTGTAACTCCTCAAAGGCTGTGAAGAGCCAACAATTTAGATATTACACAAGGCCGTATCTCAAGGTTCCATCTGAAAGTGGCGGAGTCTGTACTGTCACACATGGATAACCGGAGGTCTGCTTGTGAAGTCCACATGCTGAACTCCTACAAGCTGTAAAACAGAGTTGATGGGTTTGTGATCCAATCTGTTCCTATCACGATGTATAAAATGGATGTAGTGACCTAGAAGGCAATAAGAATAAAAGGTGGAAGTTGGCATATATTGTTATCTATTAGATTTACAGCTTACTAGAATCAAGGAAGCTTTTCAACTTTTAATTAGTCCAAAGGGAAAAATTAATTAACTGGAATACATTATGTTCCATATGTAATACCATAATAATTTTTAATTAAGGTAATAAGCATGACAAGGATAAGGTCGAATAAATATGATATTTAATGTTTTATGGGACCCAAGGGGAAAGATTCTTAAATTATAATCTTCTATTAGGTTTTAAAATAAAATGTCAGACAGGCAGAATATGGAACACAGATATCAAACTAGAAAATCACATCTGTTCTTCCTTTTTATAATTTTTAATTTATTGGTTTTTAGAGAGAGAGAAGGAAGAGGGGGGAGATGGGGAGAGAGATAGAGATGGATTTGTTGTTCCACTTACTTATGCATTCATCGCTTGCTTCTTGTATGTGCCCTGCCTGGAGATGGAACCCACAACTTTGGTGTATGGAGACAGGGCTACAACCAACTGAGCTACTTGGCCAGGACTTTTTTTTTTAATGTGTTTATTCATTTTAGAAAGAGAGGAAGAGAGAGAGAAAGAGACATGGATGTAAGACAGAAACATCGATTGGTTGCTTCTTTATACATGCCTTGACCAGTCATCAAATCCACAACCTAGGTATGTGCCCTGACCAGGAATCAAACCCCCAGCCTTTTGGTGTACAGGATGACACTCCAACCAACTGAGCCACACTGGCCAGGGCCAGGGCTATATTTTAAATATAATAATGGAATAAATTACTTAAAAACATTCACTCCCAAATACTGATTTAATAGGCTATCTGCATTATAACTATAGACCAAAAGCGGCATAAAATGAGGACATTAAGACAATCAGTATTTTGTCTTAGGTCCTTAGATGTTTATAATCCTTTTATCTGCTAAAATATAAAAATTCATAATTTATAGCCCTGGCTGGTGTAGCTCAGTGGACTGAGCACAGACCTGTGAAGCAAAGGGTCACAGGTTTGATTCCCAGTCAGGGCACATGCCTGGATTGCAGGCCAGGTCCATAGTGGGGGCCAGATGACAGACAACTGCACATTGATGTTTCTCTCCCTCTCTTCTCCCTCCCTCCCCTTCTCTCCAAAAATAAATAAATATTTTAAAATATATATCTAAAAAGTCATAACTTATAGTTTAGTTCTCTTTACTTTGATTCTTGAGCTCCAGATCAGAATTTAAACATTAGAGTAAGAAGATATTATGGGCATGTTTTCTGCATTACACTTTTCTGCTGTCTACAATCATCACTGTAGATTTAATATAATACATTGGCTCATTATCAAATAATGCAAATAAGGCAAGATGAAATACTGGGTTAACCATGACATAGATTTCTATAAATAAGTACACCTAGCTCTTTCCTTAGAGAAGCTACATTATTTCCAGCAGGCAGTATTAAAATCTCCGTATTAAGTATGTTCTCGATTTGGTACACAAATGACAATCCCCCTGCATTCTTTATTCTTACACAAGTCAATGTGTGGGTGCCAAGATGTGGAGATGAGGACTCAGAAAAACACCTTCCAGGTCTGAGGATGGAAATGAGTCATTTAGAAATACAGCCCATTGTTGTTCTGGGCTAGTTTATAGGACTCATTCTCATAAAACACGGGCTTCTTTCTTGGCTACTCCAGCTGATATAAATTCATTTGAGAGGGAGAGTAAGTAACAGATTTTAGCTCACTAGTGTTCCCGATGCAAAAAGCCCAACGGTTATAATGCTTGGTCAAAATCCTCTTTCCAAAGACTTCTGTTTAGGTCTTTCCAAACACTTCTGTTTAGGCTTCTGGAATTTATTAATATAAATTAATAACTATTAGAAGCTATGCTCACTAATGTGGACAATTTTTGTAATCCTCACCTCATGTTATGCTTATTGATTTTAAAGAGAGAGGAAAGGAAAGAGAGAAAAACATCAATTGGTTGCTTTCTCACCCCGAACGAGAATCCAATTCACAACCTAGGAATGTATTGTGACTGGGAATTGAACTCTTAAACTTGTAGTGTATGGGACAACTCCAGCTGACTGAGCCACCCAGCTAGGGCAAACGTAGACTATTTTATTTTATTTTAACTTAATTTATTTTTAGAGAGAGGGGAGGGAGAAAGAGGAGAGGAACACTGATGTGAGAAATATTAATTGCTCCAACCAGGGAGTGAACCTTCAACCCAGGTATGTGCCCTGACCAGTAATCAAACTGGTGACCTTTCACTTTGTGGGACAAATGTTCAACCACTGAGCCACACTAGTCAGGACAAATGTAGATGATTTTAAAGAGGAAGAAAAACTAAGAAAAAACACTTTACAAGATAGTGATGGGTACTTTGACACTATTATGAGTGGGTGTTTGTCCGTGACTGCAATACTTGGGGCTAGTTTATAGGACTCATTCTCATGAACATGGTAAAGATTCAACACTCAACCATTCAGCAAAGTGGGGCCAAATGAATGTCAGGTGGTCCAAACTGATCAATAAAGCTATTTAGAGCATATGGTTTATAGGAACTGTTACTGGATGAGCTGTCCTTGGGGTTGACCTGCTGTCTGACACTGAGCAAGGCTCCTAATTTTGATAGATATAATTAACTAGATTGATTCATCTATTGACAAAAAAAAGCACTTGATAACTTTTTCCTATTTGGAAATATTCACCTCCACTGAATTTTTTCAAGAGTGTTATAGCCATATACAGTTCACCAAACCAAGACTGGTTTTTCCTATGCCAAATATCTGAACACACTTGGGCATGGAATGATGGACATATTTCATCCAATAGGCAGACATCAAAATACAGACAAGTCTTTGGAAACAAAAGATGCCCCCTATGAAAGTACAGCATTCTGACTGGTACAATATCAAGTTGCCCATTTTTATGTGGTTGTTATTTTATGAAGAAAGCAGGAGGACTCTGGACTCCTAAAAGGCGTAAGAAGTGTCCTACTGGGTCTGGGCTTTGATGCTTACCTGGACCTAAAATGACGGTTCCGCCCTGCTGAACTGGATCTCCTTGAAAATCAAAAAGAGGGCCAGTCACTGCCCGCCACAGACTCGAAATGCTTCCCGAGAGTATGTTTGACTTTATATGGGGGCTGTGTCCTAAAATATTAGAAAGTGTCTTTAGATGTTATCATTTTATATTCAATTAGATATTTCTTTAAAGATGTTAGTACTTCTATAAAACATTCCCTTTTTTGTGTGTCCTCTTAACTTGTGACTTGTCTTTTTTTTTCTTCAAGAACAGTTCCTCAGCCTTTCACTACTGATGTTTTAGACCAGATAATTCTTTGTCCTGTGCAATGTAGGGTGTTTAGCAGCACCCTTGACTTCTGTACCCATTTGATGCCATAGCACCCACCATCCACCAAGTTGTAAAAACTAAAAATGTCTCTAGACAATGTCAGATGTCTCCTGGGGAGAAGAAGTGTCCCAAGTTGAGGACTTCTGCTTGAAAGGAAAAAGTGATGACAGACCCAGATCATTATCTGCCACAGAAAACTGTCGGCTACAGACTTCTCAAACTGGTGGTGCTTTCCTTTTCAATTCCCCATTCTACATTGCTTAGTCTCTAACCTACACACAGGTAGCTCCATTCCTTCTCAAGAGACACTGCAGCACACTGTTATATGCTGGTCAAAACCTGTTTCTTCTTTCTGGACCCACAGCTGAGTCTCCCAGTCTTCCAGGCAGTTTGGTATGGCACGTAGCTATGTTCTAACCGATGAGTTAAAGGATGTGTACCAGCTCCTAAAATCTGCCACAAGTGATTCTCCATGTGTCTTCTATACTCTTGGGAGCCTTGGGCTGAAAATGGCAGAGCCACAAGATGGAAGGGGCCTGGGTCCTTCCATATTGTGTCCCTGAATTGCTACTTGGATACAAGGCACCCAGACAGATGCACCCTCCTTGAAATGGAAAAGGGAAAGAAATAACCTTTGACCCTCTTATGCTGAGACTTTGGGGGTCTGCTGTAACCACGGCAGCTGCCTCTCCATCTTTCCTTGGCTGCCAGTGTTTCTGTTTCCTTTCTCACACTGACTGATACTTTACTTCCACTCTTTGAGAAGAAACTCAGTCACTTTATCCTTCATGTAACTTATTTTTCTCCTATTCCTGTCTTTTATGACTTGCTTTTAACTTTTTATGTTGATGATTATGCTGCCTTTGACCTGATTTCTTCATATTCCCAGATACCTATTATTTTCCTCTATCTCTTCAACTCTTCTATTTCTTTCATGTTTACATTAGAATGGACATACCAAGAAACAAATATAGGTTCATCAGCCTGAAGACATGAGGAAAAGACATTTTTACTGTTTTCTAGGATTCTATTCCTACAATAAATGTTCAGAAATCCAAACTATCTCTTTATGTATAAAGAAAGGGTCATTTGGTATTTTTGAAATAATAGAAATTCAACTAAAGGAGATTCCACAACCTAGAATTTAAAAATCTTTGCTGTGAAGCAGACTCTGATTTTGCCAGTTTGAATTCAGTTCTTATGCATAAAACTCCTGTTTTTCAGTTTTCTTTCCTGTTTATGTTGATTCTTAGACTCAAGATCAGAATTTTACCTTAAAACCCTAGGTTACGCAAATATTGTAAGAGGCATGTTTTCCGCATTGTACTTGTCTTGCACCTGTAGTCATTACTGTCAATTTAATATCATAAGTTAGCTTATCAAATAAAGCAAAATGAAATATTACTTGGGAAACTCCTAACTCCCTTGCATTTACTTTAATGGCTTTACTTTCTTACTTTTTCTTTATAAAATGTCCCATTAATTTAACATTGTAACTGTATTATATTTTTTAGTCTGTTGATTTCAAGTAGGACTATTCTGAGACTGATTCTGAGATTCAAAGTTTCAGTGGGAACTTTTAAAAATTATTTTATAAGAACCTAATATCTTCCGTCTGGAAACACAGTACTTTAACACAGGTCAAAGAAGTTGGATTTGACTATACCCTCTCTTACAATCACAAGGGTATATTTTGTTTAGAATTCATTTATTTTCTTTGCAATTCTGTATCTTTGTTGTGGCAATGCATGGTGAGGTGTTAACCAAAGTGAAAACCACAGTTTACAGCTCAAGTGCTAAATGGTGCAGAGACCTTACACATGTGCAGCCTGTTACGGTCCACAGTTGGTACTGTTGAAATTTCCTACACTCAAGAGAGAAAAGAGCAAACTCTGTGTTTAAGCTAGCTCATCAGTAGTGTTAATAAAGTTTAAGTTGCTTTCTTAAAAAACATCAATAAATGGACCATGTCAACTCTATCTCGTAAATCCATCCCCTCCTGTCCATTCACCTCTACTTCAGGCCCTGTCATTTCTTTCTTTAGAGCCTATTACTACAGTCTTGTCACAAACTGGCTCTGGTTGGTGAGTTGCCTTCTCCACTGTGGATATGTGACTGTATCACTTGTCCACCTCTAGTACTTGTATGACTCCCCCATTGCCTCCAGAACAAATCCAAACTCGTTGGCCTGTCCCTCAGCATAAATGGCTACAACCTGTCCCTTGGCTCACACCAGTTCCCAAACTGGCTCTTAGACTCTGGCCAGATGCAGGGCCCTGCACTTCTCAAGAGTCAAGTTTTAGCATGCCTGTGAGCTTTTGCATGTGCTCTCTGTCAGCAGCAGCCTTTCCCAGCCTCGTTTCAACCAGCTAACTCCTTTAAGATTGAGTTTACACAACACCTCCTCTGAGAAGCCCTCCCAGATACTTGCTCCCTCAGATTTCAGGCACAGGTATTAGCAGAATATGTTCTCTTTTATAAACCCTTAATCTGGGTAGTAATGAGCTGTTTGCTTTTGTTACTCAGAGTAGATTATGAGCTTTGGGATGGCAGGGGCTGTGTCTTTTATCATTATCTTCGTGGAGCACCCAACACAGTGGTTGTCAACAAACAAGAGCTCAATAATATTTGTTGAGAATTAATTATTTGAGTTCAAGTTGAATTCTCTTATCTCACATTTCAGAAGCCAAGTTTTTCCTACCTAAAACACATATTAACAGTTCACCTAAACTAAACTCCTAAAGTTTATTAAACTCTATTAATTATAAAAGAATTGTGCTAAGGGCATGGAATGTTGACCACATAAAGGTAAATAAAACATCAAACTCTTCAACTAACTCTACTCCCAGCCACTTCACATGCAATAACTAAGTGTTCAATGATGTACAAGGTGCTATTAAAATACAATCAGGGAAGCAATTACCTCTGTTTGAAGAGCTATTAAGAGTCCCTTTGAGTTGGGCTTCAAATGAAAACAGATTACATCAATTAAAGAACATAGAGTATTCAAAGTTGTGATGATGAGGTATAAGAATATATTAGCTTAAGCAATTATTTTTCTTTTAATTACAAAAATACAATGTACTCATTGTAAAAACATATAAAAGCCACTTTTCTCACTTTCATTCCTTGGGGTAGGAATTACAGTATCTTCTAAAACCTTTTCCATTGTATTCACATGCACACTACAGATCTCTGTGTTTGTGAAATGGTTCTTGTTTTCACAAAACTGTAATCATTGAAAACACTGCCTTGCAACTTGTTCTTTAACTTCATTTAGTACTTTACAAACACCTTTCCATGTCACTGCACCCAGGAAATGAATCTTTTAGAGCCTGGACCACTTACGAGAGTCATAAAAGGCTGCCTGAGTTGTGAATTTACCCTTTGTTTCCCTACACATGGATTCAAGTGTAAAAATACACCATCAGTGTTTTCTACTTGAGAAATGTCCTGTGTTACCTGAGGAGATCATTTCTTCACCTCTTTTCATTCCCAATCTTTCATATATTTTTCTCTCAGGATCAACATAGATTTCATGACAATACCCAGTCAGTTTGCAGAAAGGCTACAAAAAGAAAATATTTGGGATTTTTATGAGAAATAAATGAGAGAAAGGTAATTATAATCTAAATTTTAGTAAATTTAACCTATAGTCAGTGGTTCAAATCATATTTTTATCTCTGTTAGTTTTTCAATCTATGATACATTTACCTCAATATGATGGTAGGATGACTGTCCAATCACTGTAAGGGTGACATTTGCCTCCTTTGGAGAAAAAACACATGTACATACTATTAGAAATTGTTTTCCACAACTTCCCCTTGTCCAACCCTTTTTGTTTCATTCTAATGCCATCTACAGGCTTCTGGAAGAATGGAATAAACAGCAAAATCCTATGCATCAAAGCAAAGAAATATATGCTAAAATGTTTAATGCAGATGATCTTTTGCTAAGAACTTTAAAATAATATAGTCAATAATTCTCTGTACCCCCCCAAAAGTGTACTTTAAAAAAGAATAAAAACTATTAAAGTATTGTTTAATCGGTTTTATTTTTTTCACATCCCCATTGTTAAGTTTGGCTGAAAACGGACCTGAGTTTGTTTGGTCTGAAGGCTACTTACTGACTTCGCTCAAAAGCTCACCTGGGGACAACCTATATGGGCCTGAAGAAAAGCACGTTTTTGGCTTTTATGAGGATGTGGAATCTGTACAAATATAACTTTTCACTTTTAAGATATATTAATGTTTCCCCATAATTAACAACTTTTTGGAGTGTTTTTATTACAAAAATAAAGAAAAGAATACAAGTAATTGCCAGCATTTGTACTTTTGGGCATTATCATTCAACAGTTGTGAATGGGCAGGCTAGCAGGTAACATCAAAATTACCCCTACGGTTAGTGTGTGTTTAAGCAGGCAGTGCCCAGCCCAACACATTAAGACAGAAGTAGATCTCTAAAGTGTCTCTCCCCTTTTGGGAGGTGCTGGAGAGATGTGTGGGACAGTGATACTCTGGGTCTGTCAGCATTTGGGCTGGAAAGGCACTGCACTTAAAAATGACGGTTGACTTTCACAAGGTCGCCCTGCAGCAAGGCACGCTGCTGCTCTGGAACTCACTCTCAGGAACTTACTTGTAAGAGACTCTTGGGGATTTTGGCAAGATCTTCTACATATTCCTTGCAGGTGTAGCACAGGAAATGCTGAAATCCCAACACGACAAAAAGAACAAGTTAGCAACTAACACCCTGAGGGTCCAGAAAGGACCGAGTACTTCGTTTCAAGTGACTCTAACTCAACACCCACGGTGGGTGGGAAGAGGTGTCAAGGGGCGCCCAGAGCGAATTAAAACTGGGCCGCACCCAATCCCTGCTAGGCCTCCTGGCGTGCTGAGAAAATGGCATTGGCTTGGCGGGCTACCCGTCCCTTCCCGTTACCGGAAGCGAGAGGACGCTTCACATCCAGGACGCCTCCAGTGAACGACAACAGGAAGGGCCCGGCGGACTCCGCTCTTGACCCCGGGCCCTCAGTTCAAAAGTCCTGTTGTGCCCCCAGCCGAGGCTGTGCAAGCAACCTCCATCCCAGCCAGCGGGCGGCGTCCCGGCCCGCGCTCACCCGCACGAAGACCACGATGGCCCGGCGCTCCCGAAACAGCGCGCCGAACGGTACCCGCCTCCCGGACGCGTCCAGCACGGGTAGCTCGGCCACGGCGGCCGCCAGGGGCTGCCGGTATTCCAGGCCGCTGGGGTCCCGGGCAGCGGCGGTTCGGCCGCTGACTTGCCGCGTGACCGGCGCCAGGGCTGGGTCGGCCATCGCGCCCGACTTCCGCGGGCCGGGATTCACGCCGGCGGAGCGGTCAGGACGTAGAGGCGGTGCCGGACGGGTCTCTACCGAGATTGGAGCCAGGGGCCGCCGCAATCCCGGCGGAGCTCAGGGGAGGCGGGGCTGCGTGGACTACCTTTCTGCTGCGGCTCCGGGCTCGGGGCGGGTACCCACCGAGTGGGCCTGCTCTCCCCCTGCTGCCCAGAGATGGGGCCCTGCGGGACTCGGTTTCTACGCAGCTCTGCAGGTTTGGAGGCTGCAGGAAAGTGCACACAGTCCGAGCGTTTCTGATACAGGCGTTCCTGGTAGAAAGAGTGAGATGGGTCCGATGCAAGAAGGTGTTATTTAGGGAAAATGCAGTCCCTACCCTTAATAGCAGCTCGGGTTGACGTTACTTCTTACCTACTTAGTAGAAGCAAGGATTAACGAGGATTTTTTCTTTTAACCCAGGGCAACCATATCTAGGATCCAAAAGAATCCTAGATATTGTTTATTGTTTTAAATTATATTCTGTTTTTTAACCCACCCCCCCTCAGTTTTGCCCCAGATTCTTTTCTGAGTTAACATTAAGAGTATCTTAATACAGTATGTCAATACAGATCTTAAGTGTTGAGTTAAATTAAATTAAAAAATTTCCAACATTTTAGCATGGCATTTTAAACATGTCCAATAAGTTGAAAGAATTTCACAATGTACACTGCTATATCTCCCACCTAGATTCTTGACATTTTATGTTACTCTCCATCACGTATCTGTTGCCATCTGTCCACTGTTAGGTGAGTTTTTCCTGATTATCCACCCCTCAATGAAAATTTGGAACATTTTCATCATAGGATAAAATTCCCTCAGTACTACTTTTCTAAAACGGATAATGAACCTATTTTAGAATTGTACCTACTAGACTTACAGGGTGATCACTTTATGACATATAAATGTCTAACCCCTGAAACTAATATAATTTTGACTGCTGACTGTCAACTCTCAATAAAAAAATTCATAAAAATAAATAGAATATTTTAAATATCCGAGGAAAACAAAGGTCATCAGCCTGACATCTTGCATGTAAGTGGAGACAGTGTGCAATTTCACTTTATACATTTTTTTCCAGTACATTTCTTTGAGTGATGTCATATCTTTGTAAAGCTAGGTTTTCAACAGTTGTGATAAAAATCCAAAACCACACACAAATCACTGTGGAACAGGAAATGAGGACAGCGGGGTCTGATCTGATTTGAAGGTTTGAGAAGTTATATAGTACCCAATAGGCACTCATATCTTGGAATGAAACAAAAATATTAATTTTCATTGAAATTTATGGGTATATCTTCAAACAGCTACTAAGTTGTTCAGACATAGATACTTAACTAAGTTGTTTGGACCTAACTTCTAAACAAAGGGAATGATAGGAATTTCATATGGGAATGATAGGTATTTCATTTGGCCCAAGGATGTCCTGGATGAACCAACTACTGAGAACTTGAGTGTGCTGTGAACCAAGAATGACTGGGAAACTGAATTAGATGATAACCTCCTTGCCTTCTGTAGCACTGTAATATCTTCACAGACTGACAGGAGGCCTGGCATATAGTAGGCCTCCACTATAGTTGGTGAATGCATGGAATGGGCCAGAAGTGGTGGTGCTAGGAGAGCTCTTACCAGCTGGGGTGGATCCAGTGTAAATCCACCCCTGGAGGAGAGGAGCCATAGTGCTAGGTAAGACTGGTATTTCCTACTGGTTGAAGCAAGTAGGGCAGGGCTCAGGATACATCCCCCTGCAGCCTGGCCAGTCCACAGAAATTTATCAGCCTAACACCCAGCCAGTTCTATGTCCATTCAGATTATTCCTGAGAATGAGCCTCGCCTGAATGAAAGTGCCCTGATTTCTTTGGCTTAGTTGCCAAACACTGGCTCTAACCCCAGTTTGTTTGTTTTTTTAATTTATTTTTTTATTGATTATGCCATTACAGTTGTTCTATTCCCCCCTTCATTCCCCTCCACCCTACCCCCCGTCCCCACCATTACCCCCCCTTTAGTTTATGACCATGTGTCTCAAGTTCTTTAGATTCTATATTTCCCATACTATTCTTGCCCCCCCATCGATTTTCTATCTACTGTCTATGCTACTTATTTTCTGTACCTTCTCCCCCCTTCTCCTCCTCCCACTCCCCTATTGCTAACCCTCCTTGAGATCTTCATTTCTATGTTTCCACTCCTGATCTAGCTGTCCTTTTAGTTTGCTTTTGTTTTAGGTGTGGTTGTTAATAACTGTGAGTTTGCTGTCCTTTCACTGTTCATTTTTATCTTCCTTTTCTTAGATAAGTCCCTTTAACATTTCATATAATAAGGGCTTGATGATGATGAACTCCTTGAATTTGATCTTATCTGAGAATCACTTTATCTGTCCTTCCATTCTAAATGATAGCTCTGCTGGATAGAACAATCTTGGTTGTAGGTCTTTGGATTTCATGACTTGGAATACTTCTTTCCAGCCCCTTCTTGCCTGTAAGGTCTCTTTTGAGAAATCTGCTGACAGTCTGATGGGAACTCCTTTGTAGGTGACTGTCCCCTTATCTCTTGCTGCTTGTAGGATTCTCTCCTTCATTTTAATCTTGGCTAATGTAATTATGATGTGCCTTGGTGTGTTCCTTCTTGGGTCCAACTTCTTTGGGACTCTCTGAGCTTCCTGGATTTCCTGGAAGTCTATTTCCTTTGCCAGATTGGGGAAATTCTCCTTTATTATTTGTTCAAATAAGTTTTCCACTGGTGGCTGTGCCTTTCCCCCTTCTGGTACCCCTATAATTCGGATGTTGGAGCGTTTAAAGATGTCCTGGAGGATCCTAAGACTCTCCTCATTTCTTTGAATTCTTGCTTCTTGACTCTTTTCTGTTTGGCCATTATTTGCTTTCTTCTGGTCCACTCCATTGATTTGAGTCCCAGTTTCCTTTTCATTGCTATTGGTGTCCTGTGCAATTCCATTCATTTCAATTAGTTTTGCCTTCATATGTTTGTCTAATTTGTGGCTATAATCAACCAGTTCTATGAGGATCCTGATGACCAGTGTTTTAAACTGTGCGTCTGAGAGTTTTGCTATTTCTTCATCGCTTAGATTTATAGGCTCTGGGGCTTTGAGATCTTCTTGAGCCATTTTTGGTCTGTTCTCGTCCATTAAGTATGAGGATCGGAGCCTTGGACTCTCAGGTCGCTGAGTTGTGACACTATATGTGGGGGCGTGGTCAGAGCGGGTAAATGGCGATGCACTCAGCTGTTTCGCGCCGCTGGGTGAGGAGCAGAGCCTAACATGGTTCACCAGGGCGGGCCACTCAGGTCGCTGGGTTATGACTCTGTATGTGGAGGTGGGGTCAGAGCGGGGAAATGGTGGTGCTCTCTGCTGCCGCTCGCCTTTGGGCCTGCTCAGTCCTGTAGACTCACTGCCCACTCCCTCACTCTATCTGCGCACTGAAGGAGCCAGGGAAATGAGGAAGTGATTGTTCTCAATTTTAGCTGCTCGCTCAACCATAAGGACAGGGTGCACTTAAAGGAGGTACAGAGCTGATTGTGTTAAGTCAGCTCCTGGAAGCCAAGCGGGAGGGGGGGTGTAAAAAGACCACAACCACAGCATGAAGTTTAAAAGCCAATCAGCCATACTATCACGAGCTGTCCATGAGCTCTAGTAACCAGTCCTTGGTCAGATCACGCACCTTAGTATAGCCCCTGAGCCAATAGCTAACTGCCACCTTCTGCTTCTGGAAGTTGCTTGCTTGCTTGCCTCTATAAGAACCCTAGCCTGTAAGCCTTAGGCGCGACTCTCATTTGCAGCCTTTTGGCACTCGTGTGTCTCCGGAGGCACCCCGAGAGTTCGCCCCTGCGCAGGTAAAACTTTGAAACTTTGGCCAATAAAACACCTCTGACTACCCAGCAGTCTCTGACCCTTCTTGCTCGCGAGGACGGGATGTAACATTTGGAGGCCCCAGCGAGATATAAAATCTAAATTCGGAGACTGGGTGAGCTGCTCGAGCAAACGTAAGTAACAAGGATCCTTTTTTTTTACATTTGGTTTGGAAGTCTAGACTGTTCAACCCTGAAGTGGTAGGTGAGACGTCACCACAATACCACCCAGGGGCTCCCGGAAGAGGGGACGCCCTCGGGAGTGGCGACTAGGTCAGTTTGTGTTTAGTTCCACTTCGAGCTGCACTGCGAGAGAATGCATGCCTGAGAACCGCGGTTCGCCTGTGTATGAGAGGAGAGTGTATGATAGGAAATTGTGGTGTTTGTTTACATGTTTTGTGTTAGCTCTGGTCATTTCTCTTCTTGTTTCTGAAATTCCTAAGGTTGTCCAGCACTTCAGGATGGGCCAGAATGGATCAGTGCCTAGATCGCCCCTCAATTGTCTATTGAACAACTTTTCTGATTTTCAGAGGCGGGCTAGTGGATACGGTGGGCCTCCGCCCGACCCCGAGTTCCTGCGAACCCTCAGCCAGATTGAGTGGCCAACTTTTGACGTGGGGTGGCCCACCGAAGGGACTTTTGATCTCCCCCTCTTGTTTGCTGTTCGGGCCACAGTATATCGGGTGCCCCATCCTGATCAGTTTGTCTATATTGATGTCTGGGTAGATATAGCCACTGAACGTCCTGGATACATTCGGAAATGTATACAGGCTAATAAGGGGGCGGGGAAGAGGGCAATCTGTGTAACCACAGGGCAGAAAGGTGACACAGGGGTGAAAGAAGGACCAGATGCGGGGGGGTCCCGTACTGTAATTACAGCCCGACCCAGGTTATACCCCGTACTGCCCGGTCAGCCTGAGGATCCTCTGGATCCAGCCCTTGTTCCACCCCCGTATCCAACCCAGCACCTGCCAGACTCCTCTGAGGAGGGTAGAAGGGTCCAGAGCCCGCCTCATACTCGCGGCGGCACTCAGTATAGTAAAGGTACGGGCCCCCCGGACAGGGCAGATACAGTGGCCGCCGTTTTACCTCCTCAGGCAGGAGGGGCCATTTTACCCTTGTGAGAGGCCCCCACCAGCTGGATGCGCCGCGGGCTCCCCCGCGCTTGATCTATGTATCCTTCTCCACCAGTGATTTACACAACTGGAAGCACCAGAACCCCCTTTCTCAGAGAAGCCGCAGGGATTAATTTCTCTTGTGCCTACTGTAAGGAGAAAGGACACTGGAAATGGGATTGCCCAAAGATAGGAGGCGCCAGTAAGGGCCCCAAGCATGGCCCGGAGGTCCTCCTCCAGACTCTGGATCGACGGGGCCAGGGCTCCATACCCGTTGGCTCCCAGGAGCCCATGGTCACCTTAACTGTCGAGGGCAAGCAAATAGACTTCCTGGTCGACACGGGAGCCACTTATTCCGTCCTAAAGCAGCCCCGAGGGCAAATTCAGAAGGCAACCACCAAGATTGTAGGGGCAATGGGTGAAGCAGAAGCTTACCCATGGACAACTGCCAGAATCACGGACTTGGGTCGGGGCACGATCACTCATTCCTTCTTAGTTATCCCAGACTGTCCATACCCGCTGCTGGGGAGGGACCTGTTGCAGAAGCTCCAAGCCACTATAACCTTCAAGCAACAAGAAGACCCCGTGGCTGGAGCCAGCATGGAAGTAACAGTTCCCTTCTCTGAGGAGTACTTGCTGGCTGCGCTCCAGGAAGAGAGGCGAGGGGACGCCAGAGTCTCCGAAGCGCTGCAGTCAAAGGTACCAGGGGTGTGGGCAGAAACTAACCCACCTGGGCTGGCCGTCCACCAGCCACCGGTGCTGGTTCAGCTGTCCAGTACAGCAAGCCCAGTCAGAATAAGACAGTACCCTGTACCAGCGCGGGCCAGGCAAGGGATTGTGAGACACTTGCGGCACCTGCTAGAGGCAGGCATTCTAAGAGAGTGTCAGTCCGCATGGAATACCCCTTTGTTGCCTGTCCAGAAACCTGGAACCCAGGATTACCGTCCAGTGCAGGACTTGCGGGAGGTGAATGCCCGAGTCGAGAGACAATACACTCCACAGTCCCCAACCTGTATACGCTGTTAAGCTCGTTGCCCCCAACGCATACTTATTACTCTGTTTTAGATTTGAAGGATGCCTTCTTTTGTATACCCCTGGCTCCTCAGAGCCAGGAGATTTTTGCCTTTGAATGGAACAACCCCGAAAATGGACTAGTAGGGCAGTTCACATGGACCAGACTGCCCCAGGGGTATAAAAACTCACCTACAATTTTTAATGAGGCCCTCAGCAAAGACCTCCAGGAGTTTCGGAAATCTCACCCCATCATAGTTCTCCTCCAGTATGTAGATGACATTCTAATAGCAGCTCAAGAACAAGAGGAATGTGAAACAGCCACCCTAGACCTGCTGTGGGACCTTGAGAGGATGGGATACCCGGTCTCCGCCAAGAAAGCCCAAATCGTGACTCAAGCTGTAAGTTACCTTGGGTACAACTTGCAGGGGGGACAGAAGACTCTGTCCAGTCAATGGATCCGGGCGGTTCTGCAAATTCCAGAGCCGGCCACCAAAAGGCAGGTACGTGAATTTCTGGGGGCCGTGGGATACTGCAGGCTGTGGATATTAGGCTTTGCAGAACTAGCGAGGCCCTTGCATGAGCTAACCAGGGGCAAAGAGGACTCATTCGCATGGACTGAAAAAGAGAGACAAGCCTTTCAGGCCTTAAAAGAAGCATTAGTAGCTGCCCCAGCTCTGGCCCTGCCAGATTTGGCTAAGCCTTTCCAATTGTTTGTAGCAGAAAAAGAAGGAGTAGTCCTAGGTGTATTGAGTCAGACACTAGGGCCATGGAAGAGACCCGTAGCCTATTTATCCAAGAAACTTGACCCGGTTGCTTCCGGGTGGCCGGCCTGCCTGAGGGCCATTGCAGCCACCTCATTGCTAGTCAAGGAAGCGAGCAAGCTAACTCTGGGACAGGATATACAAGTTATTGGTGAACATTATATAGAACAAGTCCTGCGGTCACCCCCAGACAGGTGGTTGTCAGATGCGCGGCTGACGCAGTATCAGGCCCAACTGTTGAATCCTCCAGCAGTGTAGTTCCTTAAGACAACTGCCTTGAATCTGGCCACCTTGCTACTGATTCCAGATGCTGAGATTGTTCATAACTGCACCCAGGTCCTAGACACAGTGACCGGGGCCCGCCCAGACTTGCGAGACCAAGCCTATGAAAAGGCAGATCTGACTCTATTTACTGATGGGAGTAGCTTTATCAAAAATGGACAGCAGTATGCAGGAGCAGCAGTGACCACAGAGGATAAGGTGCTATGGCAAAAGGCATTGCCCAAAGGAGCATCTGCACAGAGAGCGGAGTTAATAGGACTGACCCAGGCCCTAAGGCTAGCCGAAGGAAAGGTCGTCAATATCTATACTGACAGCCGCTATGCCTTCGCCACCGCCCACGTCCATGGAGCTATCTACAAGGAAAGGGGCCTCCTGACCGCAGGAGGCAAGGATGTTAAAAATCGTGAGGAGATCCTCACCCTCCTAGAGGCCATATGGCTACCCAAGAAAGTTGCTATCATACATTGCAGGGGCCACCAGAAGGGAGATTCCCCAGTTATAAGAGGAAATACTTTAGCTGATACTGCCGCCAAGGAGACTGCAACAAGCCAAGGTGACAATTTGCTCTCCCTAGTTCCCCAGCCAGAATTGCCTCCGGATCCCAAATACTCCACCGAGGAGGAGCAAGAGGGAACCAAATTAGGTGGAAGAAAAGATAAGTATGGATGGATAGTACTCCCTGATACTAGGATTTACTTGCCCCAAGGAGTAGTAAGGCAAGTAGTGCAAGATATCCATACCAGCACCCATTTAGGTCAGAATAAGTTAGAGCAACTGATTAGAAAGTACTACCTAGGGCCACACCTCAGAGCAGTAATTCACTCGATCACCTCACGGTGTAGGGCATGTGCTCAGGTAAATGCACAAAACAAGAAGTTGCCCTGCTTCGTGAGATATCGAGGGAATACCCCAGGAGAACTCTGGGACGTTGACTTCACTGAAATGGCTAGAGGGAAGTTGGGCTACAAGTATTTACTAGTCCTAGTTGACACTTATTCAGGGTGGGTCGAGGCTTTCCCCACAAGAGGAGAGACGGCCTCCATAGTCTGTAAGATTCTAATGAGAGAAATTATACCTAGATATGGGGTACCCCTAGCCATAGGATCTGACAATGGACCTGCATTTTTTTCCAAGGTTTCACAAGAATTAGCGGCCAGGCTAGGGATTAATTGGAAACTTCATTGCATCTATAGACCCCAGAGTTCAGGGCAGGTAGAGAGGATGAATAGAACCCTCAAAGAAACTCTAGTAAAGCTAAAGAGAGAGACCAGCGAAAATTGGGTAGAGCTACTCCCTTTTGCCCTTTTCCGTGTGAGATGTACCCCATATATTAAGACTTGGGCCCCTTTTGAAATACTATTTGGTCAACCTATACCCCTGGTTCCCCGCCTAACTAAGGAAGAGATAGAAGTCTCTAATCACAACTTCCTTAGGCCATTGCAGACGCTGCAGAAGATCCGGAGCGAGGTGCGCGCCCTGCAGCAAGCCCGCCACCTGGAGGGAGGAGGCACAGCGCTTGAGCCGTTGGAGCCCGGACAGTGGGTGTGGATCCTCAACCACAGAAAGGGGAACTTAGAGCCTCGATGGACTGGGCCCTTCCAGGTACTGCTAAGTACCCCCACTGCAGTTCGAGTAGCTGAGAAGCCATATTGGATAGACCTCTCCCACACCAAGGTAGCCCAAGCACCAGGAGAAGACTCTCGAGAATGGCGGGTTCGAAAGGATCCAGACAGACCCCTAAAGCTTACTTTCTCCCGCTCATAGGAATATGGCTTGCCTCTTGGGCCACCCCCACGGGAGGACTGGCCCACCAGTGGGTTATAATTAGGTTCTCTGATAGTGAAGTAATTGCCAGCAGCGGCATAGGGAAGGACAACAGAGTAACCCTGCAAGCTGACCTCTCTCAATGGTTCGGACATAGGCTATGTGAAGGGAATGGACTCACCTCTATTAACCCAAATAGGGCATTGACCTTAAGAGGAACTCCAGGGATAGAAGGATCTGACTGTAACAGAAATGAAAATCTGAACCAAGACCTTTTCCATACCGACCTTTATGTGTGTCCGCATTGGGTTGGGAATGACATGAAATATTTTCAAGACCTCTGTGGAGGGGTAAAGGATTATTACTGTAAAAGTTGGGGATGCGAGACAATTGTATCACCCCCATCATGGGAACCATCAATGAGGGACGCCTATATTAGTATTGCAAGAAATAAGTCCCAACCACCAGCTGACAGAGAAAATCCCCGTTGTGCCCAAGATAAGTGTAACCCTATAACTATAATTATCTTAGACCCAAAGGACCCTATGTGGGATACAGGACGCACCTGGGGTCTACGCCTCTATGCAATGGGTTATGACCCCGGGGTCCTGTTTACCATCAGGCGGGTTCCCCAAGTAGAAGGGCCAGCCATGAAGGGATTAGGAAATGGGCTGCCACCCAAGGCGGTGCGCCCTCTCATAAGTCCGCACGACACTCCAGCAGGCCAAAGGAACCGCCTCCACAGGATACACCAGAGGCGGCTCGTCCAGATTTCATAAATGAAAAAGGCCCACACCTAGAAGGACAGCCCCATCATCAGATGACTGGTGCCCTAAACTTATTAGATAAGATTTTCCCTTTTTTCAACAGTACCCAGCCGGGCCTCACCGAATCATGTTGGTTATGCTTAAGCCCGAGGCCACCATTCTATATAGGGATAGGGGCCAACACCTCTGCAGGCAGCATGAACGCTCCCGAAGGCCTAACAAACCACCAGGAGACAGGAGACTGTCTGACTGACAGTGCATTAACTCTTGCAAATTCCACAGGAATGGAACCTGCTACCTCCTTGGTAACTATAATTTATCCTCTTCAAATTATAGCAATTATTGCCTGAACCAAAGGAGGGTTCCTGAAACCATCAATACACCACAAGTGACCCGAGCTGCTGAGGGGTTATGGTTTATTTGCACTCAAGGAATATTCAAGTGTTTGGTGCCAACCCGCCGCCCAGAACTGTGTATCAGTGCATATATTGTTCCCCAAGTGTACCTATATGGAGGCGACCCTACCTTACTAGTACAGCCCCGGGGGCAAACCAAGAGAGCACCGTTATTAATACCTATACTGGCCACTATGGGGTCTTGGGGTCTGCAGCAGTAGGGGCTGGGGCCATAGTCCATGGGGAACAGAGTCTGAAGCAATTGTCACAATCCTTTTCGAAGGACATTGCCCTATTGCAAGATCAAGTAATCTATCTTGAACACCAGATAGACTCCCTGGCAGAGGTAGCACTACAGAATAAAAGAGGACTTGACCTCTTGCTTCTGCAGCAGGGCGGACTGTGTGCAGCCCTAGGAGAGGAGTGTTGTTTTTATGCCAACCACTCTGGAGTAATTTGAGAGAACATCAAAGTTCTCGCCAAACGATTAAAAGATAGGAAATTGGAAGAAGAGAACTCCAGCTGGTATGCTTCTATATTCCAAACCTCCCCTTGGCTAACTACCCTAATGTCTGCTATAGCTGGTCCTGTTTTGATTCTTCCTATAGTTAATGCTTTAACTATAGGACCTGTTGTTATAAGTAAACTTTTAGCCTTTATCAAAGAAAGAGTAGAGGTAGTGAAATTAATGGTCTTATCACAACCCTATACTATTCTCCTTTCTAATGAAACAGAATCAAGGGTTTGATCTGCTCCAAACAGAAGGGGGGAATGAAGGAGCCAGGGAAATGAGGAAGTGATTGTTCTCAATTTTAGCTGCTCCCTCGACCATAAGGACAGGGTGCACTTAAAGGAGGTACAGAGCTGATTGTGTTCAGTCAGCTCCTGGAACGCCAAGCGGGGGGGGGGGGGCCGGGGGGGTAAAAAGACCACAACCACAGCATGAGGTTTAAGAGCCAATCAGCCATACTATCACGAGCTGTCCACGAGCTCTAGTAACCAGTCCTTGGTCAGATCACGCACCTTAGTATAGCCCCTGAGCCAATAGCTAACTGCCACCTTCTGCTTCTGGAAGTTGCTTGCTTGCTGACCTCTATAAGAACCCTAGCCTGTAAGCGCCAGGCGCGACTCTCATTTGCAGCCATTTTGGCACTGATGTGTCTCCGGAGGCACCCCGAGAGTTCGCCCCTGCACAGGTAAAACTTTGAAACTTTGGCCAATAAAACACCTCTGACTACCCAGCAGTCTCCGACCCTTCTTGCTCCCGAGGATGGGATGTAACATGCACGAAAGCGCAACCACAGTCAACCTGCAGCCCTGCTCCCTCGCTGTTTCCCCGCGGTCGCTCGCTGAGTCACTTACTAGGTCCAACCCTATGCCTGGGTACTGCGTGCTCGAATCCGTCTGACCGAGTTTTTCTGTGCAACCCCGCTCCGCCAGCTGCTGGTTTTGCCCCTCTTACTGGTCAGGCTGAAGAATTTGTTGTTATCAGACTTCCGAAAAGTTCAATTTTCTGTGTTCTGGCTATGTTTTCTGTTGCTAATATTTAGTTGTCTCTAAACTTGGTTGTGAGAGAAAGCATGGCGTCTTCACCTATGCCTCCATCTTGGCAGAATCTAACCCATTTTCACACTGGTCTCCCAATAACTCCTCCAAACTCCCTGGTTGAATCTGGGAATGTGTTAATTCATCAACTATTCCAGCCCAATTTGGAAACCTTGACCTTCTGGGTTCTGGTTATTTGATGCAGTGCACATTTAATTTTTCTAAAGCATTTGTTACAATTTTGATTAGTTACAAGCATATCTCAGAGATATTGAGGGTTTGGTTCCAAACCATCATAATAAAAGTAATATCACAATAAAGCAAGTCACATAAATTTTTTTGTTTCCTAGTGCATACAAAAGTTACATTTACATTATACTGTAGTCTATTGAGTATGCAGTATGTCTAAAAAAGTATGTACCTTTATTAAAAATACTTTATTGCTAAAAAATGCAAACCATCAGCTGAGTTTTCAGTTAGTCCTAATCTTTTGTTATTATTACTTGAGATATTGTGAGAATTACCAAAACCTAACACAAAGACTCAAAGTGAGCAAATGCTGTTGGAAAAATGGCACTGGTAGACTTGCTTGATGCAGGGTTGCCACAAACCTGCAATTTATAAAATATGCAGTATCTGTAAAGTACAATAAACCGAAGCACAATAAAATGTATGCCTATACTTGTTTCTTGTCTATTTCCTTTTTAAAATATGTTTTACTGATTATGCTATTATAGTTGTCCCATTTTTTCTTGTTTTATTCCCCTTTATCCTGTGCCTACCTCCCACCAGCATTCCCCTGCCTGCCTTAGTTAATGTCTGTGGGTCGTACATATAAGTTCTGTGGCTTCTCCATTTCCTATCCTGTTGTTAACCTCCCCCTGTATATTTTGTATCTACCATTTATGCTTCTTATTCCCTGTACCTTTCCCCCCCATTCTCTCCCTCCCCACAAATAACCCTCCATGTAATCTCCATTTCTCTGATTCTGTTCTTGTTCTAGTTGTTTGCTTAGTTTGTTTTTGTTTTTAGGTTCTGTTGTTTATAGTTCTGAGTTTGTTGTCATTTTACTGTTCATATTTTTTATCTTCTTTTTCTTAGATCAGTCCCTTTATGATTTCATATAATAAGGACTTAGTGATGATGAAATCCTTGAACTTGACCTTATCCGGGAGGCATTTTTTCTGCCCTTCCATTCTAAAGGATAGATTTGCTAGGTAGACTAATTTTGGATGTAGGTCCTTGCCTTTCATGACTTGGAATACTTCTTTCCAGCCCCTTCTTGCCTGCAGAGATTCTTTTGAGAAATCAACTGATAATCTTATGGGCAGTCCTTTGTAGGTAACTGTCTCCTTTCCTCTCGCTGATTTAAAGAGTCTCTCTTTATCTTTAATCTTGGATAATGTAATCATGATGTGCGTGCTTCCTTGGATCCAACTTCTTTGGGACTTTCTGAGCTTCCTGAACTTTCTGAAAGTCTATTTCCTTTGCCAGGTTAGGGAAGTTCTTCATTATCATTTCAAAGAGGTTTTCAATTTCTTGCTCTTCCTGTCCTCCTAATGGCACACCTATTATTCAAATGTTGGAACGTTTAAAGTTGTCATGGAGGTTCCTAAGCCTCTCCTCATTTTTTTACATTCTTTTTTCTTCTGTTCTGGTTGAATGTCTATTCTTTCTGCTTCAAACCGTTGATCTGAGTCCCAGTTTCCTTCCCTTCACTGTTGGTTCTCTGTATATACTTCTTTATTTCGCTTTTCATAGCCTTCACTTTTTCTTCAATTTTGTGATCATACTCTGCCATTTATGTGAGCATCCTGAATACCAGTGTTTTGAACTCTGCTTCTGATAGGTTGGCTCTCTCTTCATCACTTAGTTCTATTTTTGAAGCTTTGTTCTGTTCTTTCATTTGGGCCGTTTTTTTTGTCTTGCCACACCTGTTACATTGTAAGGGGCAGAACCTTAGGTATTGGACAGAGTGGGGCAACCCTCTGCTATGTTGTGGCTCTGTATGTGGGGGTCGGGGGCCTAGAGAGGGAACAATGCCTGGCTTTCCGTGGCTTTCAGTCACTTCCCCACTACTCATAAACACAGTGGGCCCTTCCGGTGCTGATTCCTAGGTGGGCGGTTTGCGTACATTCTAGGACCCTGTGGGCCTTCCAAGGAACTCTCCTGTGAGGCTGGGAGTTTCTCCTGCCACCATAATCCCCACAGGCTTTTTCAATTAGAGGTTTTGGGGCTTTATTTTCCTGCACTGGAACTCTGGGTTGCATGGTCTGTCTTGCTCCCCACTGGTTCCTCCTAGTTTACCTGAATGCAAATGTGGGACCACTGGTCTGTCATCTGCTGCCTCCCCTACCTGTCCTCCAGCTGCATGTCCTCTCTTCCCCTACTATTAGTTTGAATGAATGTTTCTTCTTGAACTCCTTTGCTGTTGGACTTCCACACAGTTCAATTTTCTGGCAGTTCTTGATATTTTTTTGTTTTTAAATTTGTTGTTGGTCTTCTTTTGGTTTTGTGAAGAGGTAAAGTGTATCTACCTAGGCCCCCAACTTGGCTGGAAGTCTGTTTCTTGTCCATTAAGTAGATGATAAAGGCCCTGAAAACAAGGTCTATGTCTATGTTGTTCTGTATATCTTTAGAATCTGTCACAGAGCCTGGTACATGGAACGTACCCAATTGGTAATCATGAATAGATGAACTCCTTTTTGCTTATTCTTAAGTTTTCCTCTTGTTTTTCTCCCTTTACCTGTCCTTTTCACTCCCCAGCCTTTAATTATTTTTCTTTGCTTCTCCATTATGTCTCTGAAATTCAGTGTTGCCCACACACCTGGCTAAGTTCTGCAGCTGTAACTGCACCTGAAAAATAGTGCATTACTGGCTTTATTTATCTCTCTACTGCTGTCACTAATGGACCTTGGTTTTCCTGCAACAAGGAATGTAGCTTTCAAGAAGCTGTTTTGCCAAGAAGTAATTTAGGCAGAAGAGATAATTTGGTGTCAATATACTCTATCAGGCTTTTGATGAAAGCCTTGCCCAGAGAAAAGCAGAAGTAAAAGCTTTCATTTTGCTTTCTTTGTCTAACTGTATGCTCCTGAGAAAGGAAAGAACAGTAAAAAGCTATCTCTGAAAGGACACTTTGGGGTTTTATTACTAGTTGTTAATGATTAGTGTCATTGAGTACAGTATTAGCAGAGGAAATGAAATACATAGATAATTGAGGATTTTAGAACTGGAAGAGATTTTAGAAATTACTTAGACCTATGGAGGTAAGGAACCTGACCTTGTGAGGGAAACTCACAAGGCCAAGCCCAGCTCCTTTCAGGCCTGGCTTCATTCCAGCAGGTGCTATGGTGCTTGCATCTAATCCTCACAGCATCTTTTCATGATTACTTTCCTATCTGTGGGGAGAAACATTCTTCCTGAGTTACTTCTCTAGATGTAGGTAAGAATAGCCAAGGGAATGTACTGGTGTTGGTTTGTAAACCTTAAAGTGTCCTACATTTATAAGACATTATTACTACAAAAGAACTTGTAGAAAGCTTAGACTTAAAAGTGAAGGACATTCTACAAAATACTCTTCTAAAGTGTTGAAGGCCATATAAGACAAAGACCAAGAAATCGTCATAGGAGATAAGGAGTCTGAGAACTAAATGCAATGTGATATTCTGAACTGGCTCCTGGAACAGAGAAAGGTCGTTTAGTGGGAAAATAGAAAATCCAAATAAAGTCTATACTTTAGTTATTTGTACTAATGTTAATTTTTTAGTTTTGACAAATGTATCATACTTACATAAGATGCTAATATTAGAGGAAGGTGAGTAAATGTTAAACAGGAACTCTCTGTATTAGTTTGCTATTCATCTGTATATCTAAAATTAGCTTGAAACGAAAAGTTGAAAAAATGTTCCAGAGTCCAAATCACTAAAAAGAAAAGTGTGAATACAGTTACAAATGATTTATCCAGAATATGTCTTATCCTGGTTTGGATGTTTCATTTAGTTACTTTTCAATGGATTTTTTTCAGAGTATTAATTGTAGTGTATTATAGTTTCCTTTATCCTTTAAGCTTCTTAGGATATATGAACTGTGTTTCTTGTAAATTCCTTAATTCTTGTACTTAGGATGTAAGAGGCAGAACCATTAGTCAATAAATATTTACTTAGTAACTTCCCTGCCTGCATTAGGGGTGTGTTAGAAACTAGAAAGATTAAGATAACCAAGACGAGTCTAAGGCAAGAGCTAATACTTTAGTTGGGACGATAATCACAGAATAAATAGTTGTAATGAAGAGCAATCAGTAATACAGCCAAAAGTATGAATAATGTAAAG